TCTCACCAAGTTGCCCAGGTGGGTCTCGAACCCACGGGCTCAGGCAATCCACTCACCTCGCCTCCCAAGGCGCAGGATTACAGGCTGAGCCACCGAGCCCGACTTCAATCTTATATTTTTTAAAATCAGTGTTTCTGTGGACATTAGAGCGTATGAGATTAAGCATGTTTGCACAGTCCACATCTTGACAAAAACCTTTCCTGTAAGAGTAGCTTAATTATAGTTGTACATTTATAAGAATAAAATTTTGTTTTGCAATCATCTGTGTGTTATCTCTATCTTCTTCCACAAGCAATGCATGAGCACATGAAAGAATTTAATTCACTATCAGAGCTTAAACTTTTCCTTAATATTCACTTAATTTCTCAGTTCTTAAATTCTCTTTTCTCCCCATTTAAAAAAATGAATTCTCCTTACAAGTGTTTATGGACATGGGGTTACACATAATCAAAAGCAGTTGGAAAAACACATTTTATCTGAGAAAGAATATGAAAATCTGAACACCTAAAACAGTCACATGATATTTGCATCTATATATCCTAGAAAAAAGATTTACTACATCTGCTTGTAGAAAATATTTTGCTAAATTAATAGCAACTTCAGTTAAAATTGAGAAGAATACTGGACTCTTTTAGAAACGAGGAGTTAAATGTTCTAGCTATTCAAGAATTATGTTTTTGTTTCTCTCTTTGCTTTACAAATATTTTTTGTTTTTTCAGTGGTTGCTTTGGAAATTCTGTGTAAATCTGAATTTGATTTGCGTTTATTGATGTGGATATGACTCAGGCAACATGGTACCCAATAAACTCAGGCAACATGGTACCCAATATGCACTTCATTGCATATGGACAAAGAGAAATAATGCCTTCCTTAATGTTTAACAACCACTCATCCAAAAAAAAAAACCCTGAAATATGTTGTAAATGTTAATGTAAGTTTCACAGGCCAAATTAATTTTCATGTAATGTATTTATTGATTTTTGTCAAACCTCAGTCAATAAGTAGACTATTTTTACAACTCAATCACAGTTTGGCAAATGTAATTATATGTAAATCTACTCTTTTCTCTATATATCATCATCAAACATGTTAACTAATAAATTTTGAACAGTTATTACATTAATTTTAAACATTATTTAATTATAATTTTTTATTATTTATATTTAAATTATAATTTTTTTACATAATTGCCTACCAGGATTCCTAAAAACACCATGGCACTACTCTGTATATTCAAATTTCAAGAAAAGGAGCTATATTAGATGGCTGACTAAAATTATATTCATCCCACACCTTATTTTTTTTTTTTTGGTATACACAATAAACTAATCCACTTGTCTTTCTTTAATAATATATTCTCCTAAATGTGCACCCTTAAATGGTATTTTAACCGCAGATAACCATAGGGATATTTATCATGTGTACTCAAATTCTTGGATTTGATCATTGATAATTTAACATGATATACTTTGAATTTAAAGTAGTTGTTATACTTTAACAGTTTTTTCATATGTGTTTGTATTGCTTAATTATGTGCCTTTAATAATTTTGTTATAACTTTATTTTACAACTTTTTGTCTCCCAAAGGAACATTAAACATCTTAAAATCTTATGACCATGAAATAATCTTAATTGTTACTTAATTTAAGATATGTACTTGTTTTATGGAACTCCTGGATTAACTTGTAATGAAATGTGTCAAAATAACTAATGTAAAGGGGAATACCACAGATGTCGTTTCATATCAAAGTAGAGAATAATAAGTTGACGTGTGTGACAAAATTTTTTGCCTGGGACATGGAGAGGGAATTCTGAGATTTTACAAATAATGTACCCTTGTAACATTACTCCAAAAGATGTAAAAGCTGTATAAACAGCCATCTTTATTTCAGCTGTATTCCTAGAACCTAAGGAAGAGATCAATACATAATAAATATCCAAAAAATGTATCTAATGAGTAAATGATAATGATTTTGATTATGTTCATATATCCTATATTTGCAGTTAATGGAAAAATATAAAACCTTAAAAACAATCTTGTCATTTGCTGCAGTACAATGGAAACATTGGTCCCGGTCTAGAACATCACATTGAATTTTTAACATTTTCTTTAAGATTGAAGATAAACTTACTTCCTCACCCAGCAATCTCTTGTCGTTTAGAGACTGCCAATGTCTATTACTCCACTACTAAGGTTCTTCACTTTGTAAAATTATAAGCTATTTACAAGTATATTAATCTTCCTATATCTTCCTTGTTTTAAGGCCTCTGTCATCTAAATATTCCATTCTAAATTGTGTGCCAATTTGAGCTATTTCTTATGTTCCAGTGTGTTGGGAACACTCATCTCTGTGGTGCCTTTTGTTTATTAATTCATTAAATCCTTCTTGAGTCTGTTGTAAATGGAGAAACAGAATGATGGCTAACTTGAGTAATGATACTACTGTATACAAAAATCATATAATCTTGCCCCTCAAACTTGGGAATACATTACATTTACCTCTATTTCAACTATAATTTATTTCATTTAAAATGCCAGGATAGCACTGCCTTAAAAAGAAATAGCCAGAGGATCCAAGGACCACAGATCCTTAGGGAAATTTAGTTGGGTATATAGAAATAGGTAGATATACACCTTTCCTGTGAGTGTTGTAGAGGAGCTCTCAGAATTTCACTTTTCTATGTATACATTGGATGTTTGGTCATAAATATAAGGAGAAAGAGACAGAACAGTATTCAGAGACTTTTGAAAAATCCAGAAAACTGAAAACTGAAATTTTAAAAAATTTAAAGACCCACTAGAAACGACACTTTGACTGATTCAGTCATGTTCCCCTTAAAATTATGTATATTTTGAATTATTATTTCAAGACTATAATTTTTTCTGTTTAGTAGTATATATTTATGCTTTATACAAGTAATCTTAATACTTACAATCTTAAGTATGAATACAATTAAGTCACATAATTATTATATTTTATAATACCAAAATATATAAATGGAGAAAAATCTTAAAACTGTATATTTCTATAGTTTCAAGCAAAAATTTTCTTTTTTTAGCATGAATATTTTGTAATTGACAACATGACATATTGTGTTCTTATGTAGATATCTTATATAATCACTTGTAATCAATATCAGAAAAACACATAATTATTTTTGTACAAGATTCAAAACAATTCAATGA